AAGAGAGGCAGTGGGTGGGGGGGAGGGGAGGGAGACCAAAGGTGGCAGGAGCAAAGCAAAGAAGGAATAAAGGGGAAAGAATGGAAGAAAACTGGGTGCCCGATCCTTATCTGTGATTTTTAATCTTTCTAAACTGAGGGTGGGGTGTAGGGATCCCACCCGCCCACAGCAGAACGTGCATTTCCCGCAGGTGGTCTTTCTCCCCGGACAAGCAGGGCCGGCCTATCCGTTAGGCACAGGGGTCCCAGGGCCTAGGGGCTGCCTTGCTTTTAGGAGCCAGGGGAACGTTTTAGTTTCAAAATCAGAAGGAAAAATGAGTGTAATAATAACGTGAATCCTGCTTAGATTATACTCATCTTTAGAGGAGTTACAAAGCATCATTTTCGTGTATTTTTGAGGGAGGGCGGGGCCCATGAAAGCCACAGCACAGCCCTGCCCCCCGCCCCTCACTCACTGACCCCCGGGCCTCAGCGACTTCCCCGGGTGGGGTTTTTCTTTTAACCGCAGCTGTTCTTGTTAGGCATCATTTGAATTTAACCCCACCATTCATTTTAAATGTAAGTGTGTCTGTTCAGGGTGGTTTTTATGCTCCCGGTCCCTGAGCCCAGCAACACCTTCTCTGTTCCAGGGCCGGGCAGGCCGGGTGCCGGCGGAGCGTCGCTCGTGGAGAGCTGTGGGCGGGCGAATGTTCGAGGCCCTGGATGCTGGTGAGGGGCAGGCTCAGGGCAGCCTAGCCGGGGAGCCCCCAACCCCAGGTCACCCAGATGGCACACAGGCACCGGAGACCCAGGGGAACCCCAGACACGGAGTGGGGGTGGGGGTGGGGGTGCAGGTCATGGGACATTCTTGTTTTTTCCTATACTGTTCAATCGTTCTGCAACTCAAAGTTCAGAATCAATACTGATCACCTGTAAGGCCCGATTCATGGTGTCAGGGGAGATTTTACCTTTTCTTTTCCATTTGCCAGAGTTCTGAGTAGGAAAATGTCAAGACGGAGCTTAAAGATGAAACCTCAGAAGGATTCTGGCATGTTACAGTGATCCCCCTGCAATAACTTCTCCTTGGTTCAGTATTTGTTAGGACGGATGTTAAGGACGCACCCACAGGTCCAGGTCCGCCTCCCGCACCCCCCTCACCGGCTGCTGGAGGCGGGGCTCTCGGTGGCGGTGGGGGTGGCAGCCGGGCCTGGTGGCTATACGGCCGTACACACTGTGCTGACTGTGAACTCCGCCTCGGTGGCCATGATGTCTGTGGGCTGGATGTTGCGGTCGTACATGGGGTTCTCAAATGTGGCCCGAACGTTTGTGTTCTCGTGGCCAGCATAGCCATTGAACGGCACTTTGGGTCTTCTCCTGGGAATAAGACAGAGAGTGACCAAGACCTAAAAGGAGGACAGACTCAGGGCTCTAAAGCAGGACCGAGGGAGGGAGGTTTCAGAAGGTCACGGCTTTCCTGAGCCAGGAAGGCTCTGGGCGGTTGGGGCTGGGGACAGGGTCTGGCATTGTCTCGTCACCCACCCGGCCCCCGTGCCTCCTTCCTTCACTGTACCTGTGCTTGTAGAGATAGAGCACAAAGCCTGCGATGATGAGGGCGATGAAAGGCACCAGGATCGCGGCTGCCACCGAGCTGCTGTTGGAAGCAAAGTGGCGGCCGATGGACTCGGGGTCTGACTCCAGCAGCCTGAGGTCTGCAAGTCCCAGAGCAGAAACCTCGGGTCACGGACGCGGCCTGAGCGCGCGGCCCCTAGCGGTCACCACTGGGAAGTGCGGCGGGGGCTCGGAGGC